CACTAGAAAAGCAGAGAGAGATTTGCTCTTATCTGTTACAACACTGCATTTTTTTAGTTGTGTACCTGTTAGAATCTGGACTTTCATATGGTCACCTAAGATCCTAGAGGATTTACCAAACACGATTTTGATCGGCTGAAATGAGTTTTTTTTAGGGAGCAAATGCGGAGGGAGTGCCGAAGAGGCTGACGTTCGACGAGATACAGAGCAAGACGTATATGGAGGTTAAGGGGACTGGAACTGCGAACCAGTGCCCGACCATCGACGGTGGCTCCGACGAGTTCGCGTTCAAGCCTGGAAAATATTCTGGCAAGAAGTTCTGCTTCGAGCCGACATCCTTCACCGTCAAGGCCGAGGGTGTCAGCAAGAACGCACCTCCCGAGTTTCAGAACACCAAGCTAATGACCCGCCTCACCTACACCCTTGATGAGATCGAAGGACCTTTCGAGGTACCATTTCCCTATTTCCTTTTCTAAATTCCGACCATATTCTAATAGAATCTACCATCAGGTCTCTTCAGACGGAACCGTCAAGTTCGAAGAAAAAGACGGCATAGACTACGCAGCTGTCACGGTCCAGCTTCCGGGCGGGGAGAGAGTGCCGTTCCTGTTCACAGTCAAACAGCTCGACGCCTCAGGAAAGCCCAACAGCTTTGGCGGGAAATTCTTGGTGCCCTCGTACCGTGGCTCGTCCTTCTTGGACCCAAAGGGCCGTGGTGGCTCAACCGGTTATGACAACGCGGTCGCCTTACCAGCCGGAGGCAGAGGGGACGAGGAAGAGCTGACAAAGGAGAACATCAAGAACGCGGCTTCGTCCACCGGAGAGATCACTCTGAAGGTGACAAAGAGCAAACCTGAGACGGGAGAGTTGATCGGAGTTTTCGAGAGCATTCAGCCTTCGGACACTGACTTGGGTGCTAAGGTACCAAAGGATGTTAAGATCCAAGGGATTTGGTACGGTCAACTTGAGTGATGTTCCCACAATTACTTAGTCTCTGTATTTGGAACGAACCTCTTTGAAGATTCCTGTTAACGATCTTATAATCGTCTTGACGCTCTCATATTTTTCCGGTCATATGATCTTTATAATTCCCTAAAGTTGCAACCTTTTGAGCAATTCATATCAATTCAAACCATTTTTTCTATACGAATTCAAATATAAATATAAATAAACTCACCAATTTGCAATATTTCAAGAGTTCAAACAAGAAATGATATAAAATGACGTACAAACCAATATTGATGTATAGTCTCATAAGTTGAAAATCAGACCAAACCAATTGATTCACGCAAAATAATGTAAACAATTTCAGTGATAAGACATTGCTTATGCATTATTAAAGATAAATATTTGATTGGACTGTTTAATATTATGGTCTAATGATTTGTTTCCAGCAAAGCGAGAGAATAAAAGGGTAAACAAATCCACTTGGCGTCACAGTTACGACCTTTGCCTTTCTTTTCCTCGTGTCCCTTCATTGTGCTTCCCCTTTTTCTCTCTGTTTCTCGCGGAAAAAAGAGAGATTCCCAGAAAATGCGTTGATTTCTTCTTCTCCGTCCTCGGATGATGAAGAGAAATTGGCCGGAAATCGGATGGAGAATGTGCCGGGATCGTTCGGCACGAGCGCCAGCTTCGCTCTTCGCTTCGGTCAAATCGTTTTCTCTTCCGCTTCGCTTCTCTTCATGTGCTTCGACTATGGATTCTACGACTACACTGCCTTCTGGTAAATCTCCCAATTTTCAGGAAATTCCGTTTCTTTCCCGGATGAGTAAAAACCCTAGCGGTCGTATAAAAGTTGGGTGGGTTCACGATTTAGTTGTGCGATGACTTTGGGTTTGAGTAAACTGGTTGTGGAATTATCTCCGGTGCCGGTAGATTACCAGTTCGAGGTGATGAACGAATGAATTGTAAGGAAAAGGAAGAAAAATATTGTAAGGGGGTTGTCATGATTTGTGTAATCGAATCGGATTGTAGGAGTCTAATGCTTGATCAGACTTTCAGAATTGATTTCGGTCTCCGTTTGTGGCTTGATCAGAGTTCTTGATGACTGGTTAATCAAAATTCGCTCGTGCGAGCTTTCAATTTTTGGGTTTTTAGAGTTCATTGGTTTAGAACTATTTGCTTGGCAGATGGATTCCATATGAATCAAACCAAATAGATTGGGGTTGCCATCCATAAATTTAATCAGAAAGGATTTCACCGTTGTGAGAAATGATAAAGCAGGATTTTCAAATGTCAAGTATGAAAATCTCTTAAGGACCTTTAGTTGGTTCCATACGATACATGCTGCGTTTTTTTTGGTTATAGATTCATCAAATTACACTGCTTTCAGCTATTTGGTGACTGTAATGGGACTGGTGACTCCATGGAGTATGACACTGGCACTCTTTGACGCCTACTCTGTACTTGTGAAACGCCTTCCTCCACAAGCAAGAGTGCTGTCCATTGTTGTTTCTGGAGATTTTGTAAGTAAAAGAACACATCCATCGAATACCCATAATAGAGTTCAGTCTCTTCTTCCTCCTAACCCGGAAAAGATTCTATCTTTATGGTTACAGGTTCTGTCCTTTCTCTCCCTAGGCGGTGCCTGTGCCGTGGCCAGCGTCACAGAACTATTGCTTGAAGCTGGCGGGCCGTTCTGCCGCAAGAAGCTCTGCAGCAGATACCAACTCTCGGCCGCAATGGCCTTCTTGTCGTGGTTTTTGTCATTCGTTTCGACCATTTTCAATCTCTGGATTCTACCTTCAGCATATTCTTGACTGGAAAAGAGAGAGAGTATATAGTATATACGTGCAGGATGAATCAAAGGCGGCGGGGGCAGGCGGGGGCGGAATAAGAGATTGTGTTGAAAGCTGCTAGGGATACGTGGGAAGTGTGGAAGGTTGAGACTCGGGAAAGGATCCA